AAAAGAATTTATTCTAACCAATAATTATTAAATTATATGATAAAATTTGATATTAAAATTAAAAACTGCTAATTTTAAAATCCGAATTTAATCACTATTATGTTTAAAAACTATAAAATTACTGAGGAGAAAAGAAAAAATACATATGTTATTCAATTTATTTCTTCGTTGAAATTACGTTACAACAGACGCTACAATATCCGGTCATTTGACAATACATGTATATATATTTTTTATTCTAAAGTGTGTGAATGTTGTCTTAAACTCACGCGCAAAAAAAACACAAACAATCAGAATACAATACATAAGCACCCAGACGAATTTAGATATATATATATACACACAAAAAAGCGACAAATAAATACATGTACACACATCCGCAGACATTGACCTTGACAATCAGATACCATAATTCATTCCGTATACACCAATTATATACTTCGGTATATATATATATTCATAGACGGAACCATTTAGGAGACGTCTATGATTGTGCTAGAATGAAGTCAAGAATCATCGTGAGGTCTTGCTTCCGGATGTAGTGTATCACTTACTTAAGACTTCGTTCATTTTTAATTAGTGAACTTAATACAGAGAAATATAGAAGAACTGGGAATATTAATATCTGAATTGAATTCAGCACAGGTCAAATTGAACAGAAACAATATATCGAGTACAGACGAAATTGTAATAGAGTTTTTCGTAAAAGGGTTTCGACACTGACAATATTACAGACATAATAAATGATATATACAACAGTGGCGAAATAACGGAAGACCTAAGTAGATCTATTTCCATAATACTGAAGCTAGATGCAAAAGAGTGGCAAGTCCGTCGGAGAATCAGCGTAATGACCCATATAACAAAATTCACCCAAATAGAGAACGTTGCTGAATTAAACTTACTAGGGTTATTCGCAGGAAATCCTTTTAATCATTGATCGGAGAATGTGAACGATTCGGTTTGGTTTTGTGTGCTTTGTTTTAGGCTATATCAACCTCAGTGTGTTATATAATGCCGACAACATTTTTATTACTGGCATTTTTTTTCAAAAATGTATTTCTGGTAATATTTTTTCTTCAAATATCTATTGCTGGTAATAACTTTTTTATCAAAAATTATTGCTGGTTATACACTTTTTACACTCTATTTCTGGTACTAGAACTTTTTTTTTCTCATTCATTGTGTTTTGACCCCAGTTTGGGGGTTAAATATTTGCCCATACTTGGGACCCTAACAGGTGCTACCACCACAGGTCATACTGGACCTGGGAACACCAGCAATTAAGAGGTGGTTCCAGGCTCCTCAAACCTCCTGATCAGAGGCCTTGTTGTTGGACGTAGTCCATCGTCTTACCCAATACGCGGACGTAGTTTATCGTCTTACCCAGGATGCGTGAACGATTCTTTCAACTCCGTCGGACAATCAGCGTAATGAGCCATATAAAAAAAATTCACACGAATAGAGCACGTCACTAAATTAAACTTACTAACCTTATTCGCTGTAAATCATTTTCGCGAAATTTATTGATATTAACATGAACGTTCAGCAACTCAACTTCTCGGCCGTCTTTATAACATCAGAAATGACGTATTTCTTTTATTCATTGAACTTATTTTTTTTTTTGCTTCTGCATTTAAACTGGACTGTAAATATCCAGTGGAAAGTTGAGCGTCCAGATATTCTTTTCAACGTCAAACAGAAATCTTTTCACTCGACAGATATATAAGCGTCTTAATATAAATATTCCAATCTCCATGTATGAAGTTGGGCCCATAAGGTGGCTTACAGTATTTTTTTCTGAAACGAGGTGTAAGGATACAGAAGGCGCTTATCTCCCTTTGGTGGAAGTAAGTCACGTGGGTCGCCTGACTGGCGCTTAGTGACATCAATCGATACAGTGACCAAAGCGGCAGTCAAAATCTGTTCGCTTTACAGCAACAAAATCGAAATGGCCATGACTATATCTACCTTCCCAGTAGCTTGTTGCCGTTTCAGTTTGGGAATATATCTTTCCAAAATATAGAAAGAAACTCCAGCTCGCAGTCTTCAGTTTCTCGATTCTTACCGTATATGGTATATGTCCTCGCCTGGTACATAGATGAATCCGGCCCGTTTGAATCCGGTGCTGTCTCCCCTAGGCCAACGTTCCGTTCTCACACTTATAAACGTGTGGGTGAGTATATATCGATTTGTGTACAGGAATTCTCGATTAGTGCGGCTAATTTCTTCATCGGTTACTATAAAAATCTGTTATCATTTACTCTGGTTAAATTGAAAAATATTTTACCGCACTATTTGTGTATTATGTCTGCGCTAATCGAACTTTGGTATATAAAATGTTCATTAATCGAGGGAGGGCTTTATATCATATAAAAGTCTCTCCGAGAATAAAGCATGTTTGTCATTTTTCTTCCTACCGTTCTGTCTGGGAAGTACGATGTTATTGTATCACGGATACAATAATGCCCATAATTGGGGAAATTCAGACGGAAAAATAAATCATTCTTCCATTGCTATATTACAGAGATATATAATATATATCTTCGTATTTTCGGTGTACTGGCTTTTGTCGTCGTAGATGAAAATTATTTACAGGCCTGTTGAAAACTAATCCTTTTCCCGCTGGTGTACAAATGAGTCCAGAACCCAGAATTCTCTGACAGGAAGCAACACTATTTAAATGCTCAGGGTGTGAAAGCGTTAATAGGTTTTTTTGAAGAAATGTCGACCACTGTGATTGTTTACATCTTTATAGGAGTTTAAGAGAGCTGTTAAAATTATTTATGAGTCGGGTAAGGATATGAAGAAAACTAAGGCTAAATCGGCTGGGGTCTGGGTGTTTTTTTCATTATGGAATGTGGAAGGAAAAAAATGAATTGTAACAAGATGTACAAGACAGAAATTCAAAACAAAACGCCATGTTCATTTTTGTAAGATCTCAGCCGATTCTAAAGCGGACCAAACATATATATTTGTTTTTGCCATCTTTTAAATAATCTTAAAGAAATCAGAGAAGTGTTAAGGAAATATTAAATGTTAAGTGTTATTCAGCCAGTTATGTGACATGCGTGATACATATTTTTACCGTCGCAAGGTGTGAGCTATCTAATGAGGGCGTCAAACAGAGGAATAGAAAAAGGCTATATAAAAACCCGAAGATGCCCAGTAATAGTCGATACATGATTGAAGAGGTTGCCATGTCTTTCCGCGGTAGACAAGATGCCAGCCGACACCTATATAATGCGGCCTGTCCTGCTATTTACCCGTAGCTTGGGCGAGAAGAAGAGGACTCATACCTATCTCAAGAGTCATTCAGTTATTTGCCATGCATGATACCCGCTTAGGCAATCATGTATCTTTCGATACATGACTGACGAGGCAGATTTTTCCCGCACTAGGTTTCCATTTCTTTCTGCAGTTTACCAATCGGCATCCAAGGCTATAGAACCCGGTATGCCCTACTATATACTCATAGAAAGAAAAGAAAAGAATTCATAACTTTCCTAAGGGTATTAGCACTCGGCTCTCCATTTCCTCAAGGAAATGTTAAGTAAGTGTTAAGTGTTTAAGAAGTGTGAAGTGTTAAGTAAGTGTAAAGTGTTAAGGAAGTGAAAATGTTAAGTAAGTGTTAACTGTTAAGGAAGTCTAAAGTGTTAAGGAAGTGTAAAGTGTTAAGGAAGTGTAAAATGTTAAGTAAGTGTTAAGGGCGTGTGAAATGTTAAGGAAGTGTAAAGTGTTAAGGAAGTGTAAAATGTTAAGTAAGTGTTAAGTGTTAAGGAACTGTGAAATGTTAAGGAAGTGTAAAGTGTTAAGGAAGTGTAAAATGTTAAGTAAGTGTTAAGTGTTAAGGAAGTGGTTCTATCGAAAACTAATGAGAAAACATGGATTTAAGACGTGAGGAAAATTAAAGTTTTAAAAAAAATATGAACTACAAGAAAATATTACCAATCAGAGACAGCTGAAATGTCGATATCAGATAATAAGAGAAGAGTGTTTGGAGAATTTGACACTCACAGAGCAAGTTATACGTAAACTAAATAGAGTAGATAGGTTTGCCTTATCGGCCAGACGTTTCCGGTCTTTTCAACAGATATTTATCGCTTCCGGCTCCTTCTGAGGTATTCTCATTTTCTTTCACTCCCAATACCCCTTTCGTCTTTTGGATGAATTGATTAAAATAAAAGAAAGAAACATAGCGTGACAATGGAGCATTCTGCGACGTCGAACGAGGAAAGAATGTCTAGAAAATTAAACAATTAGAAGACCTACAGAAAGAAAGAATACCTAATTACAGATGTAGAAGATATAATTCAAAACAAAACGCCATGTTCATTTTTATATGAACTCAGTTGATTCTAAAGCGAACCATATATATTTGTTGTTGCCACCTTTTCAATAATCTTCAAGAATGTCGAGAAAATTAAACAATTACAGGAACAACTGAAAGAAAGAGTTCATAATTAGAGATGTGTGGGAAATTTTAAGGAAAATAGGGGTTCCAAAGAAACTGATTCTAATATCAGAGACAGAACAAATTTAGTGACAGGTTATAAAGAATAGTAGACAGTGATGTTTTGTTTTTGTTGTTATATCTGTTCAAGATCATTCTTATCCCACCTGTCAATGTGAACATGAATATATATATATATATATATATATATATATATATATATATATAAAACATCGCCTTATTTTTATCGTTATTGAGTCTATACATTAGGGTTTTTCGCAGTGTTTACTCAAGGGAACTTTACGCTCTGCCTATTAAGATTTCTAATGGAAAATGGACAGGAACGCGAAGAATTCAGGATAATGAAAATGTCCCAGAACAGAGACAACACTTTCATTCAACTTAAAATATGATAGTTTTAAAAAATATTCTTGTTTTACACGTTTTTTGTTTGTTTTTGTTTGTTTGTTTTTTTTGTCTAACCTTCAGTTTTCCTTATTTTTCTTCTGGCTGTTGGTTGGTCAGTTGACACATGACGTAGAGACATATGCGTCGATATGTTGCCATGGTGATCAGCTTAAGTGAGGCTTGATTTGTTCCCTTTGCGGTATAAAAAAAATTGTTTTAAAAATAGGCTTCATACTGCGTCCGTTGAAAGAATTCATTATATCATGACCTATATTAATGCTATTGTTTTTTTTTTTGTTGTTGTTTTTTTTTGTGATTTTTAATGTTTAAATGGGTTTATCCTCCCTCGTGGTTATCCTAATGGACAAGCTGTCCAGTACAGAAAGGTCAAAGAATTCCCTTCTCTTTCTAGCTTGATTTTCCCTCAATTTCTTTTTAAATGCCCTTTTATCTATCTATCTATCTATCTATCTATCTATTTTTATGCCCGTCAACCTTTAGCAGTTTCTATCTATCTATCTATCTATCTATCTATCTATCTATCTATCTATCTTCATATACATCCATCTTTTCCGATTGGTTTCTATCTATCTAGCATGCCTATCAATTTCTCAGACGTTACGTTCTCACTCTCTCTATATATATCTATATCTCTCTCTATCATGTCTATCTATCTATAAACTAAATCTTTCCATATCTATCTATCTATCTATCTATCTATCTATCTATCTATCTATTTTCACGTCTATCTCTCTTTTCAGTCTGTTCCTATCTATCTTTATCATTATGTATCGTTCTCAGTCTGTTCGTCTTTATCTATCTATCTATCTATCTATTTTCATGTCCATCTATATTTCTCAATCTTTTCCTATCTATCTATCTATCTATCTATCTATCTTTTTCCGTCTTTTTCTATCTATCTATCTATCTATCTATCTATCTATCTATCTATCTATCTATCTATCTATCTATCCAGCATGGCTATATGCCTATCAATTTTGTAAAAGTTTCTTATCTATCTATCTATCTATCTATCTATCTATCTATCTATCTATCTATCCAGCATGGCTATATGCCTATCAATTTTGTAAAAGTTTCTTATCTCTCTCTCTCTCTCTATCTATCTATAATTTCTATCTATCTATATTCCTAATCTATCTATCTATCTATCTATCTATCTATCTATCTATCTATCTATCTTCATGTCCATCTTTCTTCCTCTTTATTTCTTTGCTAGGCGTTTTTCCTTTTTTGAAACTTGCCTATTATTTTTCATACAACTTTCATTTTTCTGTAATTAATCTTTTCCTTTCTTTCTTTCTTTCTTTCTTTCTTTCTTTACTTATTTTTTTTTCTTTCTTTCTTTCTTTTTTTTTTTCTTTCTTTCTTTCTTTACTTTTTCTTTCTTTTTTTACTTTTTTTTTCTTTCTTTTTTCTTCCTTTTTTACTTTTTGCTTTTTTCTTTCTTTCTTTCTTTTTTTTTTTTCTTTTTTTCTTTTTCTTTTTTCTTTTTTTTTTCTTTCTTTCTTTCTTTCTTTCTTTCTTTCTTTCTTTCTTTACTATACCGTGTCTCTTCTTTCTTTTGTTCAGCTTTCTTGTCTTTGTTTTTCATAATTAATATAAATTAATACAAACTCTGTTTTTTGACTCATTTTCCCTCTTCCCAACTCTGGAATCTCTTGTCGAAATGTCGTTGATACGAAAAGAATTTCATTAAACGTAATTAGTCATCTATCACAGAGTGTTCTTCCTTTTGGGAAGAACTGAATAAAATTCTCTTAAAAAAAACTCCAAAACGCCAATCTGTCTACGAACATACTCATATCTATCTATCTATCTATCTATCTATCTATCTATCTATCTATCTATCTATCTATCTATCTATCTATCTATCTATGTCTTTTCATATCTATCTATCTATCTATCTATCTATCTATCTATCTATCTATCTATCTATCTCTGTCTTTTCATTATCTATCTATCTATCTATCTATCTATCTATCTATCTATCTATCTATCTATCTATCTAAATAAAGAATAAATACAAACTAAAAATATATATCAAAAATTGAAACCAAACCTCAATAAAAAAATAAGTACGTATACTCCACAAACATTTTAAAGTGGATACAATAGATGGTCTTTAAATGACAGCGTCATTAATAATTATTCTTTCATCTAGCAATTACTCAAATCCGGAATTTTTCCACCGCAGACCTCTCTCTATATATATATATATCTGATCTCTCTCTCTCTCTCTCTCTCTCTCTCTCTATATATATATATATATATATATATATATATATATATATATATATATATATATATATATCTATATATATCTATGCAGCACCTATCTATCAATCTATCTATCTATCTATCCCGGTCCATATATGTCATTCTTTACATTATCTATCTATCTATCTATCTATCTATCTATCTATCTAGCTGAAACATATGGATCGGTGCTTCAAGATCCAAAGAAGAATCACCAAGTTCTATCTATCTATCTATGTATCTATCTATCTATCTATCTATCTATCTATATATATATATATATATATATATATATATATATATATCAGTCTATTCTTATCTATATATCTATCTGTCAGATTCCTAATAGTTACCTATGTATCGCGTTCTATTCTTTTTTATCTATAAAACTATTCATATCCATTTTTATCTATTCATGCATCTCTCTCGGTCTCTGTCGGTCTCTCTACCCCCTCTCTCTTCTCTCTCTATATATATATATATATATATATATATATATATATATATATATCCTTACTCTGTCCTGGACATTGATTTCTACCTGGATTCTATCCTCTTGGAATTATTTTTTTATACAAATATATATGTATGTGTATGTATGTATGTATGTATGTATATATATTTTAGATATATGATTACATACGTATGTGTATATTTACCACTAATATTATCAATCTATATATATATATATACTTATACTTATCAATCTATCTAAGCCTGCCCATGCGTATCTTTTTATTTATCTTTTGATTAAACATGTTCAACGGACTTAAATTCACTAAGGAAGGCGAGTTAATTTTCCATTTCTTTTATTTCCCCAAGTACTTTCTATCTAATCCGAGTTAATCTTCAGGGGTGAATTGCTTAGATAAGAAATTACTGTTTTTTTTTTGTTTTTGTTTTTTGTAAATGCGCATGATACGCGCTCTGTTACAATCATTTTAAACACGTATAAACACGGTCTCTTATAATTAACTTAAAAAATAAGTTTTAAAATAACAGACATATAAAACTACATCGCCTCTCTTAATAAATTTAATATCAACATTAAGAGTCAATCAGGGAAATCGAGAGAAATAAAATAAAAATAAACAGACAAAGTACGTTCAGATTATTCAACCAACCATGCTTTAATAATGATATACTATCCATATTATATACAAAGTACAGTGTATATGTGTGTATTTGTGCGCGTGTGTGTCTCAAAACAACTCCTCCGCTAGCACTGGTCCTATTTCAATGTGTCATACCTCATTCAAAAGTCCTAGAAAAGTTAGGCACATGAAACGATTTTCGTTGATCTCTAATTCACGGTTCCCAAATTATTCGCGGTTAAAAATATATATTAATACATTATACTAGCCATTATCATTGCTTTCATGATTCAAGGGAAGTAACTCTTATGTCCTTTTGTATCCAAAATTGCAGTGCACGTTTTATTATAAACTAGCTTAAAAGCCGCCCCATGAAGGATGCTTGGTTTGGCCATCATCATAATAGTTAGGGAGGAGTTGATGCGATATATATATATAAATAAACTACAGAAGAACTCAAAATTGGTCGCTGTATTTAAGTATTGAATTAATGTTTAACGTTACCTTTTAAAAGTTCAGTGATAAGTCGTCAGCTGCCACTTAATTTAAAGACGATTCGATGTACGTAGATCCTTATTTTTCGTACAAATATTTTTATTTCATGGGTGATAGAAAAGGGGACAATTAATAAGATAAAATTAATATAGGTTAAAGATGCGAAAATAGAAATTAGAATTAGTTATGAATTCAATATTTGAAGAATTAGAGAAACATAATAACTAATTAAGTCAAACCTGTGTCACTGATATGAATAAATGCACCGAGCACCGATCCCCCACTCTTTTGCAATGGGAGGGCGTGGCTTCGGGCAGATGTTCCCCAGGGCTGGACACATCTTCACTATTATTTTCCTCAGTTGCCTTTCTGTTCTTTGACAAAGAAGCCCCTGAGTGCACTCTGTCCAAAGACTGAGACGCAACTGAGAAATGATAAGTAGACATCACCTTACTCAAAAAGAGTAAGTATTTACTCTGTCCCTTCACTAGGACGAGATGATAATACTGAGAGTTGCCCCGCACTGGGGAAACAGGTGCCCGAGTCCGCGCCCTCCTATTGCACCAGTTAATTCCCTTGAACCATGAAAGCAATGATAATGGCTAGTATAATTGTTGTAGAGTAGTTTCACAGTGGAATCTTGTAATTGTAGTAAGTCGGTCCTAAAATAGGTCCGACGTACAAAACGTTAGGAACTTGATATAATAGATAATGACGCAGTAATCTAGTTTTCTCGGTGTCGGCTTCATCTTTACTTTCTGGAGCTTGTTTTTCCCATATATCGTCGGTGTTACCCATCCAACTTTTTAAAATTCACCGGTTTTCTCTAATCTGTCCAATTCTTTATCTATCTGTCCAATTGAAGCAAACAATCATTCCTTTTCTTTTTGAATACCGCCTGAGCGTTTTCTCTTGGCTGTAATTTTGCCTCAATCTTGGTACACGTTCCCAAACCTGGAGAAAAAACAGTAGGAAATGTTCCCTTAAGTTTCCTTACTAATTTATGGGCTTCTGAGTTTAAACTTTTAACTTTGTAACAGAAAGAATTTATCGGTAGATCCCATAATTGAAATTCTGTTATCCAATTCGTACCAAGTAAGTTCGTGGTATTTTCTAGGACAAATAGTTTAGCTTTTCGCGTTTTTTATTTAACGTGACGTTTGTAACAAATTCTCCAATAAATTGTATTTTTTCTCCCGTCACTGATCTTGCGATTTTATTTGTTTTCATTAAAGTTGGTTTCCCCAACTTCTTCCACGTATGCAAATTTATGATAGATAGGTCGGAGTTGCATTTTTATTTTTTTATTACCTATTTCGACGGTAACAAATTTTCTGGTTATTCCATCGTTCACCTCGTCGGCCTTTTCTTATTTTATTGTCTTTATTTTTTGACCTGCAGTGCGTGCTTTTATGGCCCACTCTTTTACAGTTGAAACATTTTTTTTATTTCTAAAATTGCAATATCTGTACCAGTGAAGTTCACCGCAAGCAAAACATGGCTTCGGGAGTTTTTGTTTAAATTCCTCTGGTATTTCACTTTTTGTTTGATAATCCGCAATTTTAGAATACTTTTTGGTAGACTGACTTTCTTTTTTGTAGCGTATTTTCCTTACATGCAAAAACCCAGACTGTTCTATCTTTTTCGAATCTTTCTTTACGCTAACATATCTTGTGCAGTCTTCTGACAATTTCTGTATCATAAGACTTTGTTCGTTTTCTAATTTTGCCAGCACTAATTTTCTCAACTCTGCGTCTCTTTCCGATATCAGCCCTTGAACAAACACTAAGCACTTAAAGTTGTCAGCGCTTAACTCTGCTAGCTTGAATTCTTCACAATGCTTGTTCACATTGGCTGCATACGTTATGTAGTCTTCTTCATCTTTCATCAGATTCAAACATTTCCGCCTCTTGTGTAACAAAGAGGTCTTTTTACTAATTAATTCACTTAATATATTTACCGCCTCGGTAAATGTCAACTCGCTAGTTTTTTTTTCGGTAAAATGTAGTTTAGCAATTTGTTATGCTCAGCAGTTCCTAACTTGCTTAAAAGAAGTCTAACCTTCTTTCCTTCAGACCACGAGTCCTCGTTATACACGTCCGTATATTTTTATAATACTCTTCAAAAGTTATCTCTTCATCTGGACTGTACGTGAATATTTCAATTGAATTCTATATTGTCTTCCCTGGGAAAGAATCATTTTGTATATTTTTCTCTTTCCTCTTCTCAGTTATTTCCAGAATTTTTTTTTGAAACTCCTTATGCATCTGTTCCATTTCTTGTTGAAACTGCATCTGTCTATTAAAAGTTTCCTCTTGTAGCCGCATCTGGAATGTTTCCTGTTGCTCTAATATTGTCATTTGTTGTTCCGTCTGGAATATATTTTTGCATTCCTCCATCTTCGCAAAAAGTTTACACAGTGTTTAAATATTGTAGAGAGGGGTCCTACGAATTTGCAATTCGTGACCTATTTGAGCAAACTGTCTTATCGAGAAAAAAATTCTATTCTAAGTTGAGAATACGACAGATTTTTTTCGTCACTGAGTTGACGTCTTGACTTTCGAAAAACTTTGCCAAGTACTTTTTTTTTCAAAGTATGAATCTTAGATTTTGTCGCCGAAATTGTGACGAGCAAGTTTTTTCATTTTCCTCCGTATGAGTACGAATTTTTTTACTTCCACCGTATGAATTTCGAATCCCTTCGCCGAATAATACTGTGGCGAACGCAATTTTTTTTCTCCGTATGAGTTCGAATCGTTGTCGCCAAGTGTTGTAGAGTAGTTTCACAGTAGAATCTTGTATTTGTACTAAGTCGGTCCTAAAATAGGTTCGACGTACAAAACGTTAGGAACTTGATATAATAGGTAATGACGTAGTAATCCAGTTGTAGTGGTTGATACTTTAATATCCGACTAACGGTCGTCCGGCATCGACTGACTGACCAACGGTATTTAGTCACCCCCCCACGAGGGCATCATGTGGTACAAGGCCGGTTTAACGTGGGATCTCTCCGAGCCCGTGGGTTCGGCCAAGAATATGCCCATTGAACCCGTATAAACGGGTTCAGGGTCGGTTTACCTCCGCGAAAAAGAATTCGCCCTTCGGCGTAGCCTCTTTCGGGTTCCTCCCCGCCCGAAGGTCGACCAACATCAACTGACTGACCA